TTTATTATCTAATTGTATGGAAATATGTTCTGATTTTATGGTACGTACTACAAATTGTGCACCCGTGTTCAGGAGCTACCTTAACGGACAAGCTCTGTGGAAATGACTCATTTAGTGCTTCTGTCCCGTGCATACGGTATGTATTTTTATTACACATACTAGAAAATTGTGCACCCCGTGCATCGCACGGGCTCTGTACTAATAAATGACCTTAAAATTGTGCACCCCGTGCATCACCCGTGTTCACATTTTGGCCTATTACAGGTCACGTACTATATATATCCCGTACATTTTTTTTATTCATTTCTATAATTATAAGAATGGATAAATGACCTTAAAATTGTGCATCCCGTGCATCGCACGGGCCCTGTACTAGTATATATATAAAAAGATTTACCATTTTTTAAAAATAGTAAGTCAAATCTTAGTCAATCTCCCATTATCATTTATTACATGCCATTTATAGTAACTTTTATTTATTATTTTTAGAAACTCAAAATGTTGCCCTAAAATATAGAATTTCTTATTTTTTTTATTTAATAGAAAGTCGATCAGTAATAATAGTTACCTTAAAATCTAGAATGTAGATAAATATGGTTAATATCGTATATAAAATTGTTTAACGTTACTATCAGATTTATTATATATTGCCGCATTTGTCTTGATTTTATTGAATCTATGCAATCCTATGCACATTTTTCACTTAATTGAGATGGGTGCCCATGACCAAACATAAATCTATCTCAAACACGATTTTATAATATAAATAATTAAAATCACAATACAATTGTTATTCCCATATCTCATCAGCTATTGTTAAGGCTTTATTGTGGTTAAAGAAATTCCATACTAAATAGTCCTACATTTAATTAGGTAACTCTATGTTACATCGTATAAATAAAATATATTCATATATTTTTTATATATATATTTGATATAACTCAATACACATACTATATATTTTTGTATTCAACATATTATCTATGTAGATTATTACAATACATATAAATTAATAAAATAATTCTATAAATGCTTATTTATCGATTTGTAAGAGATTTACAAAATCTTAACTACTAACAAATCTAATCATTTTGTTAAATCTACACCTCACTGCTACTATCAATGATATTAATTATATCTATTATATAAAATGAAATAATTTTCATGTGTAATTATTAATATATTGATATTGATATATAATGTTATTACTATAGTGATATATATCCGTTAATATCTAGGATAGATGTGATTGGGGATAACATAGAAAATTTGAAAAAAAATTAGATACATTTTTTAAGAATATTATATAAAATTTTAGATTAGTTAAACATTTTATTGGGTTGTATTAATATATTTTCTGACTTACAAATTTTAATCTCTTACACAATTTAATTTTCATGTCATTTTAAACATTTCAAGACGGTATACACCGGCCTAAGTTCTTTGAAAATTTATCACTGGTTTGGTTTTATCGTGACAAAATAATAATATAATACTATTCATGGTAAACTATGTTCATGTATCATTATTTATAATATTATTCATGGTAAACTATGTTCATGTATCATCACATTAATATATATATATAAATAGATTTCCTATTTTTTAATAATTGCAATTCAACTTTCTGGTCAACAACATTACATATTTACTAATTTAGGTAAGTTTTTTTTCAGTAAAATCGGGTAGCAATAAATGATGCCCTTATTTTTTAGGATTAGTTGATTTCAAATCTAAGTTTTCGGCTGAATTATGATAATCCGCGGATATTTTTTCCTAAATATGTGGTAGTTGTGTCATTGGCCCAATTCAATTTCTTATTTTGCATTGCGGCTGTAGTATTTTGGATTAAAATTTAATATCATGTTTTTTTATTTCAAAACCGATTAACATATATATTGATTGTTCATTTTACAAAAATCATCATTATTGTCACACAATATTTTTAAAAATAATGGATCTTAATGATGAGAAGTAGTCAAGTTATTAACTAAAAATTGTTATTTAATATCAGCTCACAAATTTCAATAGAAAATCGAACAATAGTAGTTGTAACAAAAAATCATCTAAGTTTGATGGTTAGTTACTGCAGAAAAAGTCATCTTTTATATCTCTAAAACACATATCAAGATTTTTTTTTTTGGAACGATAGATAATATTATGAATCAAACCACATATCAATGATAACTTTGAACAAAAATTAAGACAGATAGCCTATTCATAAACAATTAATAAAAAATAAACAAACCAATTTTGTGTCGAACCTCAAACATTGCAAGTAATATTTCAAAAAAAATATAGAAATTATTAAGAAAAAGTTTACGTTTATTTACAGTCTTATTTTGATTTATTTGATGGTCAACCTAATAATTGTTGTATGTAAATTTTTGTTTTATTTGGAGAAAATTGTGAAATATGGAATATGAAAAGGGGAGAGGGAGAGGGGAGAAAAATTAGAGGGAATCATTAAATTATGTTTCAATCTATAAATTATTCACCTTACTATTAAGGAAGTTATATGATTTAAACTAAAAATATACTTTATTAGTATAGCTGGAAATGTAAAATAACTATCTACATAGAATAGGAATGAAAGAGTTAAAGTAGGAATAAAATATTATTAATAATACAGCTGGAAATTAGAAAAGTCGTCCAAGCGCGGGGGCAATTTTTTCGACGACAACAATCAGCATCCACAGCCCAGGAGAAGCCCAGTTGAGTGAGGCCCAGTTTCCGCAGCCCTTTGTGCAGCCCGCGTCTGGCCCGAGTCGGACCGTGCTCCTCACAACGAGTTACCCAATAATCAAACTCATAATGTTGTGTACAAAGAGATTTTTAATAATATAAAAGTTTTTCGCGACGAACAATTTATGATGAATAGTATTCGTATGTATTAAACTCTCATTTATCTACTACATGTCAAATTATAATATTCTCTAAATTTATATTTCCGTGCATCGCACGGGATACGCACTAGTATTAGTTAAAAATAATAACATATATGCTAGCACCCAACGGGCAACGAGATCAGATATAACAATCAAATTGTTGAGAAGTAGTTAGCATTGGTATATTATTTAGTTGGGTGATAAGTAAATTGATAGCTAAGTGTGTACCAACTTTATAGCTAAGAACTTTGGTTGATAACCGAAAAGTTAGTTAAAATTGTAAAATTGTTTGGTAATGTTAACTGATAAGACGGTTGTTGCAGTGAAAATTTATAATATATATATGTTTTATTTGAAAAAATTATTGTAGAAATCAAAATTTTAATATTTTTATTAATTAGTGCCTTTATTTATTTTAGGAAATAAATTCAAAATAAATAATATATTTAATTAATAAACAAATATTTCTTAATGCAAATCTTATGATTAGGACAAATATTAGGATAAAAAAAAAGATTATATCAGATTGAAGTTTTTTTCTTCAAGATTCTTTTTTCTACACCTATAAATAGATTCTTCTAAAAGCCACAAAACACATCTCATAAATCAACACCTCATAAATCAAAGTCTCAAATTTAAGAGCTTTCAATAACCTTTTTGAAGATTTGAAAAAGTTCTTGAAGATCCAAGAGACGTTCAACCCGCAATCAAGCAGACAAACCGCCGAAGTACGTTCAAACGACATTCAAGCCGCGTTCGTCTAGAAGTTCAATCAACATAGCTTTGATTGAGGAAAAAACTTTCAAACCCTTGACTCAACGTTATTCAAATCAAAATCTGCCTTTCAAGAAGATTGAAGAAACAATTCCACCAATCAAATTAAGTCCTAACATTTAATACGGTAATATCTCATTCGACCCCTAAATTAATGTTAGAAAAATTCAAGATCAAGTCCGAAGAAGATGTAATCGACGTCAAATCCATCTTTCAAGATCTAAAACTCAAATCCATAAAGAAAAAAATCAGAGGAGGCAAATAGAGATTGCACCCGCAAAATCGTTTGATCGAAATAAAATCAAATTGTACAAAACTTTTATATGTTTCATAAAATTCATTGTTACATTTACCTAAAGAATTTTATGATATAAACCTATTTGTTTTTTTTTTTTTTTAAAAATAATTATATTAAAGCAAGTATGTTGTTAAATAAGTTATAAGTTAGCTTATGATACTAACCAAGCACATCTGCACATGCTATAAGGAAAAATATTTGGTAAAATAAGCTGATAAGTCGACATAAGTAAAAAATTGAATCTTTTGAAAAATTACTTGTAGAGCTTATGGAATAACTTCAACTTTTGAAAAAAAAAAAAGCCATCATATAAAATCATCAAATTTATTTAAATATTAGAAGATTTACTATTTTAGCCAACCATACTGTTTAAAAAAAAAAGGTTCGATTTAAATTATTTTCTAGTTGTCTAATTCCATTTACATATTAATTCTTACCCACTTTTAAATGCTTATGTGTTTCATTTTCTAAAAGGAAAAGCTCAATGTCAGACAAAAGTATTTCACGTATTAATTAGTTCCTACCACAGACCAAAAAGGCCCAGCAAAGGCAAATGCCAAGACAATTTGCCAGATCACCACCACTCTAAGTGACCAATTATAAATAAGATAATTAATTAAAATAAAAAGTAAAAAAAGTGGTGGACAGACAAAATAATTGCGAATAAATAAATTAAATCCACAACAGACATCAATAATAATACTATATTTTATTGCAATCAAAGCGAAAGCCATAGCTAATTAAACTATCTCACATTCTTTTGAATAATGATGATAGCCAAATAGAAAGCTAAAAAAAATCACTGTTTAAAAAAAAATACTGTTTAAAAAAAAAAAATGAAATTACAAATTTACAACAACAACCAATGTGTCACGCCAAATCCATTTTATTTCCAACAAATAAACAAATTATTATATTTCACTGACTTCTTTTTATTTCATTTTTTTTTTTAAAATAATTACACTTCACGGACACGAACGAGTTTGACTGTCTGACCGCTTTTTTTTCCTTACGAAGATAACAACAGAAGGGCATTTCCGTCACGACAGCGACGGAAAAGCGCCGCCTCTCGGCGAGATGAAAACCCGGCAATCGTCCTTGGGCACGATAGTCGGCACGTACGCGATCTCGTCGCACCCTTGTGTCCGGTCCCGCCGGAACTCGACCAGGCTCGCGAACAATGCCACGAACAGTACCAGCTGGTTTATCGCGTACCTCTGCCCCACGCACTGGTGTGCTCCAGCCCCGAACGCCAGGTAGTTCTTCCGGTTCACCCGCTCCTCTTCCATGAACCGGTTTGGGTCGAACCTCTCCGGCTCCTCGAACCCCTGCAGGCACGCGTCGTAAACGGACGGGAAAACTATCGTCCCCTTCGGCACCACGTAGTCCCCGGCAAGCCGGAAATCCTCCCCGGCCACGTGGGGCACCATCGTCGCCGGTGCCCTGATCCTCACAACCTCACGTGCCACCGCCTCCGTGTACTTCAGCTCCCCCACTGAGAGGGGGGCGAAGGCGGCGGCTGCGCCGCCGCGTGGGCCCCACACGGCGTCGACCTCCTCCCTCACCCGAGCCAGCACGTCCCTGTGGGTGTCCAGGTACGCCACCGCCCACAGGAGGGACGACGTGGACGCGTCCTGGGAAGCGAACAGGAAGTCAAACAAGTGGGAGCCGATCTCCCGACAGCTGGCGGTGCCGGCGGCGCCGGCCTCTTCGCGGAGATTTTCCTGCATCCAGAAGTCGACGAGGCAGG